TCCCTGTCCCCGTCCCCGTCCCTGTCCCCGTCCCCGCGGCCCCGCGCCGCCCCCCCCGCGGCCACCATCGCCCCCAAAGGTGACGAGGAGCTGCTGGCGCTGGCGGCGTCGCGGCTGAGGCGCAGGAGGCGGGTGGCCGGCGTGGCCATCGGCGTGGCCATGCTGCTGCTGCTGCTGGTGGCCATCCCGCTGCTGGTGCACGGCTCCAAGGCGGCCGCGCACTACGAGATGCTGGGCAGCTGCCGCATGGTGTGCGACCCCTACCCCGAACCCCCCGCCCCCTCCCCGCCGCCCCCCAAAACCGAACCCGCCGGTCGGAAAGGCCGCTCCGGTCTCCGCGGGCCACCGGGGCCACCGGGACCGCGCGGGCCACCGGGAGAGCCGGGCCGGCCGGGACCGCCGGGACCACCGGGACCGGGGCCGGGGGGGTACATCCCGCCCTTCTACACCCCAAAAATCGCCTTCTACGCCGGGCTGAGGAAGCCCCACGAGGGCTACGAGGTGCTGCGCTTCGACGATGTGGTGACCAACGTGGGCAACTCGTACGAGCCCACCAGCGGCAAATTCACGTGCCCGCTGCCCGGAGTTTATTTCTTCGCCTACCACGTCCTGATGCGCGGCGGCGACGGCACCAGCATGTGGGCGGACCTGATGAAAAACGGGCAGGTGAGACCCCCCACCCACCGGGGGGGCGGGACCCCTCCCCAATGCCGGGATCGGGAACGGGACCCCTCCCCAATATCGGGACCGGGACCCCTCCCCAATGCCGGGATCGGGACCAAGACAGGGACCCCTCCTCAATACCGGGATCGAGACCCCTCCCCAATGCCGGGATCGAGACCCCTCCCCAATACCGGGATCGGGACCCCTCCCCAATACCGGGACCGGGACCCCTCCCCAATACCGGGATCGGGACCAGGGCCGGGACCCCTCCCCAATACCGGGATCGGGACCAGGGCCGGGACCCCTCCTCAATACCGGGATCGGGACCGGGACCGGACCCCTCCCCAATACCGGGACCGGGACCCCTCCCCAGCTCCGGGACCCCCCGGCAGCCCCAGGACCCCTCCCCAGCCCGGTTTTGCCCCTCCCCGGTTGAGATGGTTTGGGGTCGGTGCTGTTTGGGACATTCCCCAGGTTTGTTGTTGTGGTTTTGGGGGATTTTGGGGGATTTTTGGAGATTTGCGGTGTCTCGGTGTGGCTGTGTCTGTTCCTGATTTCCCGCTCTCGGTTCTGGTTGTTCCCATTCCCAAATCCCATTTCCCTCATCAAAACCTTCCCGAATTCCCATCCAATCCCTCACAAATTCGCATTTTCTCCCCCCAAATTCCCATCCAATCCCCTCCATCCCTCATTCCCCATTCCCAAATCCCATTTCCCCCATCCAATCCCTTCAAAATTCCCATTTTCTCCCCCTCAAATTCCCATCCAATCCCCTCCATCCCCGATTTCCCATCCTGTTCCTTCCCATTCCCAAATCCCCTTTCCCCCAAATTCCATCCTCCCCCTTTGTGCCGGGGGTGTGTGTCGGTGCCAGGTGCGGGTGGTGACACGCTGTCCCCGTGTCCCGGTGTCCCCTGTCCCCCTGTTCCCTGCCATCGCGCAGGATGGCGTTTCAGTGAGCGGGGGATGGTGACACCCTTGTCCCCGTGTCCCCCCGTGTCCCCTCCTGTCCCCAGGTGCGGGCCAGCGCCATCGCGCAGGACGGGGTTTCGGTGACCGGGGGATGGTGACACCCTTGTCCCCTGTCCCCCCGTGTCCCCTCCTGTCCCCAGGTGCGGGACGCAGGGTCAGTGACCGGGGGGTGGTGACACCGCTGTCCCTCCCTGTCCCCCCGTGTCCCCCGTGTCCCCAGGTGCGGGCCAGCGCCATCGCGCAGGACGCGGACCAGAATTACGATTACGCGAGCAACAGCGCCATCCTGCACCTGGACGTGGGCGACGAGGTGTTCGTGCGCCTGGACGGGGGCAAAGTGCACGGCGGCAACACCAACAAATA